TCTTTGAAGAATGAGCAGAGTTTTGCAGGAAGAAAAGGAAAGGGGAAATCGCAAGAAAATACTATTAAACACTTTCAAGTGTGGAAGAACACCCAGTATCCAAGGAACTCGTGAACCACTCAAGGAGAGTACAGAATACGCGAGTGAGGCAGCAGAAATATCTGGAAAGGTGGATGGGGGCAGATTGCGAAGAATCTTGAACACCACGCTGAGGATTTTGGTCTTAATTATCCAAAGCAAACTATCAGAAAAAATGTAAAAGAGAAGCATATAAAATATAAATTTGAGAGGAATTTTTATGAGGAACTTAGCTTAAAATCTATTTTTATCTTTGTAAGCACCAGAACATTTATGATAAAAGTCTGGAAGAGTCTCTCTTTTTACTACTTATAGATGTGCAGGTGCTTTGTAAAAGGCAAAAAGATTTGCTGACTAAAAGCATTCATTAAAATCATATTTTTCAAACCTGGATGCACACCAGAATCATCTGAGGACTTTTTGTTTGTTTGTTCGTTTTGATTTTGCCAGAGGGCACATACGCTGGCCAGACAGAGGGAAAGTGAGAAAGCATGCCCCATGGGGAACAGTCAGGCTGCAATTCCCTGTCCTCCATTCCAATCTCTCCTTTGGAGATTTTTAGCAAGCAAACACACAGTAGGCATGTTTTTCAAGCTATCAGGTTCAGGACTTAATCTGTGCTGTGGGATCGAGCTACCTCAGCCACCATCCCACAGGTGGGCCCAAGACAAGCTTTAAAATCTGGAGATTCCGATTTCATTGATCTAGAAAAGAATCTTCTAGAAATAATTTCTTTCAAACTTCAGTGTGTTTGAAGCTTGAATGTCTTTTGTAAATCTTGTATATGTTTAACTTGAGGGTCCTTTTCTTCTTCACTCCAAAATATTCTTATTAAATGTGTGGTACATCTTATAACCAATGGCATCTTAGAAGGAGATGTACCATATAAAGTATAATTACTTATAATGAAGACTGTATAGTAGCTGGTGCTAACCCTTAACCAGTGACCATTTTATTGTTTGCTTGTTTGGTTGTTATTCTGACATCACTTCACCCTCTGCTTCATGGTGAACTAGCCCCCCTGCCGTTTGGCTTTGGAAGAGCTGCCTCAGGTTTTAGGCCACCTCGTCCCACGTATTTGCTCAGTATGTAGTCTTTAATCTTTGAGTCTTTAATCAACTGGTTTCTCCATAAAGGTTTTTTTAAAAATTATTATTTATTTATTTATTTATTTATTTATTTATTTATTTATTTATTTTGGAGAGGTTTTCGCTATAGGACGCGTTTGCTCGCCAGACAGACAGACATAGAGACAGAAAGTGAGAAATCACACCCCAGGGGGGATGGTCACACTGCAATCCCTTCTCCTCTATTCTCCTCTTG